TCGTGCCAGACTCTCCTTCATTCACGTAGTCACATGCCCTCTCCAACATTATGGGAGGAGAAAATCCTCCCTGGGCTCCACTTCCAGGTTCTCTGCTTGGACAGAATGCAGTTGTACAAAAATTAACTTGGCTGGGGGGAACCTGAATGGAGACTGTGAGAAACCTGGGATTCTGGGGGCTGCTGCTGAGGGGGCCCCATACATCTATATTTATTGCTCTTTCTAGGCTTGCCCTCTGTCCAACATGCTGCTATAGGTGGTGGCATTTATAATTACTACTGGGGACTGCTTCCCCAGAAATGTTCATATAAGTTGACTCTTGTTATTTTCAGGCTGTGCCATCAAGTTTATTCTAATTGACTTGCCTCTTTGTACCAAGGAAAGAAGGCCAGAGTACAGAAAAGAGAGAAAACCTTCTCTACTCTGCTTTCCTGGTTTCTCCTTCAAGGGACTGTGTGTATTCCTGGTCCAGTTCTTTGGAAGCTCCTTGGTCTGTATTTCCCCAGCAATGCCTGTGAACACAGCAACACCTCTTCTCTCTGGGCCAAGGGCCGGGGTCAGGATTTATCTCCTCTGAGCAGGAGTGGATTGGATGGAATTCCACTAGATAAACCAATACAAGACTGCCCTTTCCCCCGAGGCAGGGATTCTGAAATTAGACTCAGTTTATCACTTAAATGCGCTAAAGAGTCAATGAGGCAAAGATAGTGTATCAAAAACAACTTATTACATTAATAGGGTGGAAATATCGTTGCTTATGGACTTTGGATTCTTAGAGAATAAGGGACAGCCAGTTTACTTCACATACAACCTACTTTGACTCAGATTTTTCTCATTTTATATAAAATGATTATAGAGAGATTACACACACACACACACACACACACACACTTCAAACTGGTTTTTCAACTGGTGGCTTTGACTTGCTTCAGACATAGCCTGGGATATAATCATAAAACCAATGCATTTGCCAGAATTTAGTAATACATACTTTTGGTTAAAGTTTTAAACTGTGGTGACTTGTTCTGATGGTTGAAGTGGAGGGTCCCACATTGTCACTTGAGCTGGTGCCCCGTAAACACATCCTAAGGAAGTTCCCTTTCTTAGTCCCTTGGCCTGGCTTGACCTCCACCTTAAGTGTCACATGTCACACCAGGGACATCTATCACTAACGATTCTCATCGTTCCCTCCACCCCACTGCCTCTCACAGTTGTTCTTCTTATCTTTCTTCTTTGGAAATGGGGGAAGAAGGAGAAGGGGAATCCATACTTATAAGGAAAATAATGAAGCAAGCTGATATTTTGCTTATTGTCTCGTTGGCAGGGTTATTGACTCACTAAAAGATTATTAGAGCAGATAAAATCTACTCTAAGGAAGGGCTCTCTGAGTAATATAAAGAGTGTGTCATAGTAAAGGTTTGTTCCTTCATTTTCCAAGTTTCAACTGAGTTTAAAGTTTCAGGTACTGGCTTGGCTTCATCCGTACAATTTTTCTGGCTGGAAAGGAGTCCTGGATATTTTTACCTGTCCCTGCCTTCCTTCAGCCCCACTCTTGTCCCTCCACCGAGTACACACTGGGACGAAATACGGTTCGTGACACTGAACGCCTGAAACATTGGAAATCTGAACTCAGAAACACATCCATATTCGAAGTGCTTTAGGAGTTAGGTACACACCTTCCCACAGGATTCTTTTCTCCTCTCCTTAAATTTTAATGTAACTCTCTTCCTCTGGAAAAGAATCAAGAAGAAATATCACAGAACAAGGCAGACGCTTGGCCAAGAGTGTGAGGATATGAACGGAAGACAGGGGGAAATGGCAGGGAGTAGTAAGAAGGATGTTCGCTATCAGAACATAAGAGTCATCTCCAGGTAATTCTGCACCAGAGAGGTCGGCCGGGGACAGGTGTTCCTCCATGAGTCTACAGAAAGAGGGGTGAGAGCCTGGCTTCTTTGTGAAAAGCGGGTCTTTCCTGGGGAGAACTGCAGAAACCACCCGTAAGTGGATTAAAGGGAACCACTGGAGAAAGGCCCTGTTTTCTGATCTGTTCAGTGAGAGCCTCCCCACCCCACAAATGGCCAGGGTCACCAGAGGGGCGGAACTGCCCTGGTGTTCAATACGCCAGCAGCACAGCTCTGCAGCAGCAATCCCCTCTCCAGGCCAGAGGTGCCTTGTTCTTAGAGCTTTTTTGAAACAGTTTAAGACCTTGAATTAGCTTTGGGCAATAGAAGCTGCACACTGACAGTGTTTCCCTTCTTCTTCTTCAAATTGGGCATGAACACACATTGGTCTATCATTAGACAGGGCTGAACCCGGCAGGTCTTCCCACTGTGGGAGCCTTGTGCACAATACACTATCCCACACGGAGGATCTGGCAAAAGAGAGTCAGAAAGATTACACAGCAGCTTTGGACTCTGTCCAGCTTACCATTCTCAGCCCATTTCTCTTCTTGAAGCAGCTGGGAGACTCTAACAAATGCAATTCTCTACTCTCAGTACAGAGGAGAGCGGGGACATATTTCCAGGACCCTCCCATAGACAGTGGTGTGTTTGATGTCAGAAACTCAGCATGTCCTGTTTTAAGGTGGCAAACATTCAGGAATAAATATCATTATGGTTGTGACTGCCAGGAGGATGTGGAGGGCAGGAATAAAGGTGATGTTTGCAGATCTCCTTTATGGGCAGGAAGTCAGCATGCATAGTCGACCTCCGTGTATCTCCAGGTTCTAGATTTGTAGATTTAATCAACTGAAGGAGAAAAATAGGAAAAAAATTGTGTCTGTACCAAACATATCCAGATTTTTTTTCTCTTGGCATTATTTTTTAAACATATAATAACTACCATATAGCAACTTTTACATTGTAGCATTTGCATTGTATTAGGTATTATAAATAATCTAGGCTGGGGTTGTGGCTCAGTGGTAGAGCGCTCGCCTAGCATGCATGAGGCACTGGGTTCAATCCTCAGCACCACATAAAAATAAAATAAAGATATTGTGTCCACCTAAAACTAAAAAATAAATATTTTAATAAATAAATAAGTAATCTAAACATGATCTTAAATATGCAGGAGGATGTGTGGGAGTTATATGCAAAGTCTACACCATTTCATATAAGGAATTTGAGCATCCACAGATTTGGGTATCCTTGGGGCATCTTGGAACCCATCTCCCATGGATATGGAGGGATGGCTATACTTGGGTTAGTAGGAAGTCTGTTTTCTAGAGAGATCCTTTCTCAGAATGGCTAAACTTGCCCATAGCTAAGGGGCAGAACTAGGAAAGTTCAGGAAATGGGAAGAGGTGGAAAGAGAACATTTTCTGCAACTCTTTCTTCCCTAGATGACTCCCCAGTGATCCATTTCAAATTGCCACAGCTGATATGGAATTGCTCTTACCTGTAGGAACTGATCAGAATAGAGACCAGGCTCATCAGGTTACTAATGACACCAGCCTTGCATGGCTTTTAGAGAGAGGACTGTGGAAGGCGTGGCAGGAAGTATGACTCCACTGAATGGAATGGGTTTAGAATGCAGAAATACTTCAGAATATCGTGAAAAGCAAAGCACAATGATTTGCAGATCAGAAGGAAATTGGTTGAGGAAAAGCACAAAGTAATGCCAGAGGATGGGAACACCCAAGAATAGAGGAGTAGGGTGAGAACTTGAGGGATTCATACTCCTAGACTTTGAACCTGCCTGTACAGTAGGACGGCTCTCACCCTGCTTTCTAAGGTGTCAGGGCTGACATGGTGCCCAGAAAAGCATCCCATTACTCTCCAAGCACCTGCTAACACCTGTGCATCAATTTAAGAAAAGCCTCTCTCAGCCTCAATCCCACTCAGGAGGTATCTTGGAGCCCAATGTTCTGAGGAAGCCAGTACATATCCCCAGTTTCCATGTGCCCAACATCATAGCTAGCGAGGATAATGGCAGGAGACACAAGATCAGCCAAATTAGCCCAACTCACCACCCACTATGAAAACCGGTGGAGGGTTTGGGTCATAAGCTTTTAAGGACTCTTCTCTGACTCAGAAGGGCTAATGGGCCGTTCAGCACGCCTATAATCCCAGTGGCTCTGGAGGCTGAGGCAGGAGGATGGAGAGTTCAAAGCCAGTCTCAGCAAAGGCAAGGCATTAACAACTCAATGAGACCCCATCTCTAAATAAAATACAAAATAGGGCTGGGGATATGGGTCAGCAGTTGAGTGCCCCTGAGTTCATCCCTAGTACCACCCCACAAAAAAGAATACAAATAATAATAAAAGCTGGAGAAGATGTGGAGGAAAAAGAATGCTTTTATACTGTGGGATTTCAAATTTGTATAGCCACTATGGAAACCAGAATGGAGATTCCTCAAAATTTGACTAGGCATGGAACCGTCATATGACCCAACTATACCAAGTCTACGTATTTATCCTAAAGAATTAAAGTCTTCATACTACAGTAATACATGCATGCCCATGTTTACAGCAGCACAATTCACAATAGCCAAACTATGAAACCAGCCTAGGTGTCCATCACTGGATGAATGGATAAAGAAAATGTGGTATAGGGCTGGGGATGTGGCTCAAGCGGTAGCGCGCTCGCCTGGCATGCGTGCGGCCCAGGTTCGATCCTCAGCACCACATACAAACAAAGATGTTGTGTCCGCCAAAAACTAAAAAAGTAAACATTAAAAAATTCTCTCTCTCTCTCTCTCTCTCTCTCTCTCTCTCTCTCTCTCAAAAAAAAATGTGGTATATATACACAACAGAATTTCATTCAATCATAAAGAAAAATTGAAAATATGTCATTTGTAGGAAACTGGATGGAATTGGAAGCCATATGTTAAGTGAAATAAGTCAAAGAAGGAAGGTCAAGGGTCCTATGTTTTCTCTTATATGCAGAAGCTAGAGAGGAAAAAGGAAAAGAAAAATGGGGGCAGATCTCATGAAAATCAAAGGGAGATCAGTAGAGGAAAAGGATGAGGGAGAGAGACAGGGAGGGAGGGGGACGTGCTGGGGAGTGATATTGGCCAAATGATGTTGTCACATTGTGTGCATGTACAAATGTGTAGCAACAAACCCCATCATAGGTACAACTGTAATGCACCAGTGGGAAAAATGTGGAAAAGAGGGAGAGAGAGAGAGAGAGAGGGAGTGGGAGAGAGGGCCATTCACTCTTGTGTTGCGAGAGAAGGGCCAAGCCAGGGACTGGAATGAGTTGAAAAGTATTGAAGGTAGGAAGTCACACTCGTTTTCTCCTTGTGTAGGGACCTCTGTTCTGGGAGCCGTACCCAAGAAAGGACAGGGAAAACATAGATATTCCAAAGAACTATTTTAATTTTTTTATTTGTTCTTTATAGATACACATGACAGTAGAGTGTATTTTGACATATGCCTACGTGGAGTACAACTTTCCATTCTGTGGTTGTACATGATGTGGAGTTACACCGATCGTGTATTCATATACGAACATAAGAAAGTGATGTCCAACTCATTCTACTGTCTTTTCTATTCCCATCCCCTTTCCCTTCATCCCCCTTTCTCTAACCCAATGCATTTCTATTCTCCCCGCCCCCCTTGTGTGTTAGCATCCTCATATCAGAGAGAACTTTCAGCTATGAAGAAGAATGAAATTATTTGCCAGTAAATGGATAGAACTGGAGACTATCATGCTAAGTGAAGTAAGTCGAATCCCCCCAAATCAAAGAATGTTATTTTTTTTAAAGGAGAAAAAGGGGTTGTTTCAACAGGAGCAAAGAAGCTGGGTTGGGATCGTTGAAAAATGGGCAGCTGGGACGTGTATTGACTCCACCAAATGCTTCTTGTATAATGGGGAACTGCAAGGGCTGAATGAGTGGTCCAGGCGGGCTGCTGTAGGAAAACAGTAACAGCAAACATCTCCATGATTTCCCAGTCTTAATTAGAATAGGAAGAGAGGAAGTGGACTTAAACATAAAGCCGAAGGGATTCAGGTTAAGTGGTTACTGAAAAACATCCAGTGACCTGAAGGTAAAATATTCTCCACTGGGCCATGGATCTGAGTGTTTTGTTGTAAATGAAGCATTTTGGGAATACAACTTCAAAAACTTCACAAACCGTCCTCTCTGTTGTGAACAGTGCACTTGCACAGATAAGGATACCGGGCCGAATGGTGTAGGAGCCCCTGAAAACTTTGTCCTTACAAGACTCTAAACTGGAATATACCAACCGGCCTGGGATTCTTCCAGGTGTGGAACTGCTCAGCATCTCAAGGCCAGATTAGAGGACAATCGAGTGGAATGGTTCCACCTGCCAATGAAACTGAATTTTTGAAGTTTAGGCACTGCAAATTGCATTCACTTTATTTCTGGGTGCTGCTGGGGATTGAACCCAGGGCCTTGCTCATGCTAGGCAAGTGCTCTGCCCCTGAGCTACATCCCCAGCTCTTCATTCACGTTTACCCCCTACAGAATCTCAGAGCTTGCTAGCACATCCCGGGTGTCCATGAAGTGTGGACAAGTGGGTTCAAGTGCCCTACCCACACCTTCCCCAGGCCCCCAGATGGACAAGTGGGTTCAAGTGCCCTACCCACACACCTTCCCCAGGCTCCAGGGGCAGAGTGCTCACACTGCCACCAGGAGGGACCTGCCATTCACATGCCAACGCATTTTATTTTCAGGCTTTAAATAAAGGTACAAAAAACAGTGTTGGGGGGGCACTTAAGAAGTACAGCATTTTATTTTGAGTAACAATTAGGAATGGTTAGGTATTTAAATCATCTAAAGTTTCTCTTTTGTAGGATCCCTGCAAATACTGTACAGCATGCACTTTTCACAAGAGCTGAGAGTGGGTACTGACAATGTGGAAGTGCTATGTTCATTATCTTTCAAAAGTGCATCCATTTCATTTCAGATACAATATACTATTAGTAACAATGCAGCTCTTTAAAAAGACACTTTCACTGGAAAAATTGCACGCCTCCTCTTTCTGCAGGTAGGTCTTTGCTGCTTGTAAGGGCAATGGGCATATTTTTTATAGGTTCTTAGAGGGCAAACATTAATTGTGTGTGTGTGTGTGTGTGTGTGTGTGTTTGCTGGAGATCTAGGCAAATGCTCTACCCCTGAGCTCTGCATCTCTAACCCTGAGTACTTTTTGAAAGGGTTAAGGTTGATGAGGAAGGTCTAACGGATCAGTTTCTGTTGGGGGAGAAATCAAGAAGCTAATGCGGGTCCTGCCTGAATTGAAGGCCCCAGAAGCTCTGCGTGATGAGATTAAAAACATCCCTGATAAAAAGGGCAGCTGGGATGCCCGGCTGGCGGCGGGCTTGCCATCATCTCCTTACTCTTTCTTCTGCCGTGATTTGGAAGGGTTTCAAAACATGGTGAGTACATTTTGTTGTTGTTGATGAGGGATTCGTGCATCTTGGAAGGTACTGGCCTGGCTCATAGGCAGGGAAAGTGAGATGTCTTTCAAGGCCTGGCTTTGTTATCAGGACTCAAGAAAATGCTTATGTAAATCCCACCCCCATGTAGGAAGTATCTGTTCAGATGCCTCAGATGGAGTCCTTGGTTTCTGGCCTGCTTTTGCCACCCTTACCCACCAATCCACCCACCCACTTCCTTCTCCAATCTCAGGAGAGTCACAGTAACCGATTTGGGATTTATATTTAACACCTGCAAATCTTGGCGAAGAGATCTCCCTCTTTTCTCCTTCACCAACACCCTCCCTCTCACCCATCCAAATACTTTGAGTCAGTGCCTCCCATATCATGCCATTGAAAAGCGGAGGAAAAAACTTAGCCCAGTTACTGTGAAGGCCTGAAACGGTTGTTTCCGGTACTAGGGATTGAACACAAGGCCTCACGCACACTAGGTGAGTGTGCTCCCCCTGAGCTGTATCCTCAGCAGTTTTTTTACATTTTGAAACAAGGTCTCCCTAAGTTGTCAAGGCTGTTCTCAAACTGGAGATCCTCCTGCCTCAGACTCCTTCATAGCTGGGATTATAGGCATGTGCCACCAAATATAAAATAAGTACTTCATCTTTTTTTGGGGGGGGTCCTGGGGATTAAACTCGGGGGCACTCAACCACTAAGCCACATCCCCAGCCCTATTTTGTATTTTATCTAGAGACAGGGTCTTACTGAGTTGATTTGCTGAGGCTGTCTTTGAACTCTTGATCCTCCAGTCTCAGCCTTCTGAGCCTCTGGGATTACAGTTGTGCACCACCACACCCAGAGAGTGCCGCATCTTTTTGATGACACAGAATTCCCAACCCTGAAACCCACAGTGAACAAGACACCATTGTGGTGAAATTGTCCAGCAGCGAAACAGTTCTTCACTTTGATTGGTATTTCTACCTGGCACAATGCAGAAAGGCTTGTGGCCAGGATCAGATAAATGCTCATGAAATGAGCATATTTACAGTTTTTAGAGACATGACCAAATCTGAAACAAGGAAGAAGTCTGGCATGCCAAACAATGGCAAACCTATTATTAAATAATCTTTTCTTATAAATTTTTGTTTCTATTTACTGACATCTGAATTCAAGAGGCAAGTACAAATTGGACCTTGGTGGCTGGCCCAGGAGTGAGGGGAGAGCTCATCTCAGTGCCTTTCCTCCCCCTACCCATGTGGAGCACCCACCTTGTTTTTCCAAGGGCTCCCTTGGGTGGACTATTCTGGTGGCTGACTCCTGTGGGGCTCATAATTCCCAACGTCTATTCTTCTCTCTCTCTTTTTTTTTTTTTGTAGGGGGGATGGTACCAGGGACTGGACTCAAGGACACTCGACCACTGAGCCACATCCCCAGCCCCGCTTTGTGTTTTATTTAGAGACAGGGTCTCACTGAGTTGCTTAGCGCCTCGCTTTTGCTGAGGTTGGCTTTGAACTCTTGATTCTCCTGGCTCAGCCTCCAGAGTTGCTGGGATTACAGGCGTGCCCCACTGTGCCCGGTTCCTTCCTTCTCTTTCTTCTTCATGGTCACAATAAAATGTCAGGGGGGACAGACCTCATTAGCCCAGGTCTCTGTCTTAGGGTCAGCCTGGGTCTGACAGAGTGACAGCAAGCACTCCCGTGAAGGTGAACAGAGCCCGAATGTTGCTAGGTGCACAGGTATTTGGCATCCCTCCTCTGTGTGGTTCCTGTTCCTCCTTTCTGGTCTGAGTCTGGCCTAATACAGTGTTTTCTCAGTGAGGCTGGGAAGTGAGGATCTCATCATGTCTAACCTGCTGGACCCTAGGACACACGCCAGGTGTTAGCCACTAGGCAGGCACTATGAGAGAAGATTCCCTGTGCTCCACGGGAAAGGGCTGCTTCCCCTTCAAAGGCTGTTAACCGGCTTAGTCAAAGTTGTTTGTATTTAATTCAGATAAAGCCATCCAGAGACACTTAGAGGAGCCAGCCAAGATGGCTGAGTCACTCAATGCACTCTTTTTTAGGGGACCTAGTGTAAACTCTGTCCATTGTACTACTAAATTGCGCACCCAGAGGCATCTCTGTGCACCACTTTTTGTGATCATGTGATGGGTGACCGTGAACCGAGCATGCACAGTAACTGCCCACCTCCACGTATGCTGATGAATCTGCATGAATGCATGAATATGCATGAAGTCTCCCCAATAACAGCCCTTTACTTTCTTTGTTCGGGGAGCTACTGCTTTGAGGCTTCCCTCCAGTGCACTTCTTACCTGCTGCAAGTAACACACCTTTCCTTACTCTTTTCACTCATGGTTGGGATGATCAGCTTGGTCCTCACCAAGGGGCAAACCCATCGTGTTTGGTTGTGAGAGGACAGGCAGCCCATCCAATGCGTTCCTTTACAGCGAGAGTGAAAGAGGCAGAGAGATCCCCACTCCATCTCTTCAGCTGCATCTGTTCATCTGTGGGCAACATGGATGCACCTTCACTGTGAACTTGGGAGAACCTGGTAGGAGAATTTTCAAGCAGGGTAGAGACACTCCTGAAGAGCGCTCGCTTAAGGGAGCATCAGGGGATAAAGACAGAGCCTTTGGAACCAAACAGTCTCAAGTTAACTTTCAGGCTTCTTTGGCTACTTGCTGTGTACTTTTGAGCAATTCCTTCACCTCTCTGAGCCTGGATTTCCCCTGTCTGCATGCTATACAAAGTAGGCTTTACCCCTAGATTTCTGTAGGAATTAAGTAAGATCATTTATGAAGCATCTAGGACCATGACTAACATCTACTACATATTCGATAGATATTAATTCCTTTTCATGTCTTGGAGCTCTTTGAATCACTTAACTTACTCATATATAGTAGCCTTGAGAGATATCAATTTAATTTAATATATTTGTTATCATGCATTTGTATCAATATCTTATTACTATGTAACATACAGTGATCATGTGTTAATATTTTACTATATTAAAATAATGAATATTTGATATTGGTCAAACACACCTAATGAACATATGTTGGGTGTCTATTACGTGTGAAGCATGAGAATCATTGGCCTATTCATTGCAACTCAGGTTATTTAAGCATTTTGAGCAAATATTCAGGTCTGTTTATTCAAAAAATGGCAATAACAGCATATCACAAATCAACTGAAAGTTCCCTTGAAAATGCGGCAGATGCATTTGGAAACAGCTGAATTCTAAAGAATTCAGATTCCCAAAGTGGGAGAGGATTGCCAAGAGTTTGGAAGCTGGATCTTTAGTTGGTGTGTAGGGAAATAAGGATCATCTCTTCAGTCACTGGATTTCTGTTCATAGTCATTAAAGTGAAATATGAAATATTTATGGAAAAATTACATAAATCTTTTCTTTCCTCAGAGGACTTTAGCAGTACAGTCTCCCCAACATCAAACATTCCTGTGAAAAATTAAAAATCTAGTCAATCAACCAGCTGTTTCCAAAAATATGGTGCAGACCATCTGAGTTTTCACTTTTTGGGTGAAGAAATACATCACTTAGACACAGCCTAGAGCACATCATGCTCAGAGCTCACTGAAAAAATAGCATTCCTGTGGTACCGAGAGAGAAATATTAGTAGCAGATTCTTTTCTATCAGGTGACTTGAGCATATACTTATGCTCATTTCAAACCCTCATGTACCATGCATCTGGACCCCGAGTCTGTGACAGTGACCTGGGCCTAATGCCCCACGGTGCTAGGAATCTTCTCTGTGTTTCTGAAACATGGGCTTCTTCCCTGTCAAATGGTGGAGGGAGGCATTCTTTCTAACTCCAGCATCTTAATTGTCTTGTTCTGGGTGAAGATGGCCCATAGCTGGGAGAGCAAGTACTTAGAAGACCTGGTGCCTTCATAGAAGTCAAGAACCACCAAGCATCACACTCAAGGTGATTTTCTCAGGCTCATTTATTTAGTTAGTGTATGAATTAGTGAGGAGCTGCAGCTCCTGAGCAATCAGAGTCATTTTAGTATTTAATGATCTCAGTTGTGAAGACTTGCCATTTAAGATATTCGTGCTTTAGGCTGTGAGTCAGTCAGCTGTCCGTTATTGTGACAAAAATACCTGAGAAAATCAACTGAAAGCAGGAAAGGTTTGTTTTCGAAGTTCCATTTTATAGTCACTTGGCCCCATCACTTTGGGCCTATAGTGAGGCAGAACCTCATTGGGGGAACACATGATGGAGCGAAGCTGCTCACTTCATGATGACTACAAGGAAATAGAGGGAGAGGAAGGTACCCAGTATCTCCTTCAAGGGCATCCCCCAATGACCTGACTTCTTCCCACACAACTGCACCTCTTAAAGGTTACACTGCTTCTCAGAGGCGCCACTTAACCAGAGACCAAGTCTTTAACACATGAGCCTTTGGAGAATCTTAGATCCAAATCCCAACAGGTTGAGATGATGGAAGTATTAGCCACCTTTTTGCCACTGTGACCAAAATATCTAATGAGAACAATTTAGAGGAGGACAAGTTTCCTTGAGGCTGTTTCTGAGATTCTGTCCGTGATCCACTGACTCCATTGCTCTAGGCCTGAGGCGAGGCAGAACATCATGGTGGAAGGGTGAAGTGGAGAAACACCTCTCCATGATGGTGGCCAGGAAACAGAGTGAGAGGAAGGGGCCACAGGAAAGATGGATCCTCCTAGGGTGGACCCCAGTGAGCCACCTCCAGTCACACGTCCCCTGCCTACTGTTGCCACCCAGTGAGTCCATTCAACCTAGGATGGACAGCTTGGGTTACTGCCCTTCTCTGCACTCACTGTAAGGACACATTGCTTTTATTAATGACCTGACTTTTACAACTGTCTTTCAATCCTTATAAGAAAAGATTTATTTATTTCTCCCCCCATGGTTTTTGTAAAATACATAGACCAAGAATTTCCACTTAAAGGGGAAAAAAATCAAGATGGTAAGTTCTAGTGAGTTCCCTGGTCAGTTAGCGCATGGTGGCAGGTGGGGACATATTGTTCAGGCCTGTGGAGGCCAGACCGTCACCCTGGACTGCACCCTACCTTGGCCCCTCTGGGTGACCTCCACCATAGGGTAGACCACCTCAGTATTTCTTTGCTCCCATCACTACAGAGAGACCCCCCAAGAAGCTCACTGGGTCACTCAGTTGCATGGGCCCCTCAGGACAAAATGAACCAAGAGCCCCTTCAATGAAGGCCCCTGGACATTTCAGTAAAAAGCAGATGCCTGAGAACTCTGACTAGACCTCCTTCTACCCTGCCTACACTGGTAGACAGGAGAAGGGGACCTGGGCCTCCTCTCGGTTTGTCTTAGAGAATTAGCCCTCATTCCTTCTCCCACCTTTCAAGGGCAGTGAGCAAGCTGGGGGTTTCAGGTATCTCCTAGGACTGCTTAGTCTTTTCATGGACCCAAAGTTTCTGTTCTTATGCAAACGTAATGTACATCTGTTCCCCAAAATGCACTGTTTTCCTTGGGGGCCTTATCTAGTGCTTTACGAAAAAAATTCTAATATATTAGACTTAGCAGCCTGATCTCGAGTGTATTCAGATGTGTATGTGTGTGTGTGTGTCTGTGCGTGTGTGTGCACGTGCATATGTATATATGTGTCTACATGGATCTGTATTGTGTGTATGTGTGTATGTGTGTGTGTGTGTGTGTGTGTGTGTTTTCTTGCTGGCCTTACTCAAGTGTCTCCCAAACGTCACATGCAGCCACACCAGTTGTACTGAGCTGTGTTCAGAGTCCCTGTTTTTTTTTATATGTCTCTAAAAGACCTGACAATTTCAAAACCAATCACATTGGGTGGAAACTCAAGGGGTACGTTTTGGAAAAAAAGAAAAAAGAGAGAAGAATCTTCACTATCAATTGCCCATCTATTTTAGGTAAACAACCAGATACTGCCAGGCCACCATGAACCTCTTTACCTCTTTACGTTTGTCTCTATGAGATGCTCTCTACCTTAAGATGGTTTATTTTTCTTTCAGAGTCTTTTTGGAAGGGCCTTACCAGGAGCTCTCTGAAAAGTGGAGTAAATTATGTCAACCGGATAAACACTGTTTTCAGTTTTATCGACCTAGAAATGATAACTGTAATATTTCCTGCAAATGTCTTGATTCGGCAGAAGTTGCACTTGTGATAGTTAATGCACAATTTGAAGAATTCATTCCCAGGTACAGAAACACATTGGAGGAACACAGCAGCCATAGGAGACAAATGAGCCCAATGAGAAATTCTGCTACCCTGCTCCTGCCGGGATTTACCTTGCTCTCCACTTTTTCTGCCTGGTTTTCTTTTTAACCTCAGAGGTAACGATGGGTCCATTGGATAAAAAAATGGGAAGGAAACTGGTTAATTCGGGAGGTTTCTGAGTGTTCTTTTGACCACATAGTGTTGGCTGTGTCCAGAGTGAGTATGATGAAACCATAAAGTGTCAGCCCTGAGAGACCACAAGGTTGAAGGCCAGACCATCCTGGAGAAAGTGGATACCTCTCTAGGAAGCTTCTAGAACAGTCTCCAAGGAGGGCCAGCTCTGACCTGCAGGGGGGTGAATCAATGTTCTCTGGCAGGTAGGTCGCTGGGGCACAGTGTCAGGGAGGCAGAGGGGGTGGCCGTCAGCACTCAGAAGCCTGGCCAAGGGAGCAGGAACTCAACAGCGGAGACCTAAGACTGAGACAGGAAGAAGCAAAGGGGTGCTGGGCCAAGGGCTTCCTCCCCTTCCAAGGCAGCTGTAAGGACTCAGAATGTTCCTCCAGGTCTATGTTTCTCAGCCTTCCAAATCCTCATGCCAGTTAGATCCAAACCTAGCCGAGAAGGAGGTCCCTGCATTTGTTCTCTTGCCTTTAGCCTGCCTTCGGGGGAATGATGGTCCCAGTCGCCTGCACCTCCAGCCAGCCTGGCACAGTCTGAAGAACGTGGACTTGAGGCCGGATGAGGTCAGATTTCATCTGGACTAAGAGCCCAAGCAAACACCTCCAATTCCTAGCGGCTTGGGTTGGAGGTCACGTGAGAGATGGTGGTATCTTCCAAAGTTCAGTCCTGACCAAACACCCTGTGTTTTTTATTCACTCCATTTTACTTAGCTTTTTTTCCCATCACCTTGTCCATCAGTGGCACACGGATCACCCCGTGGGAAATGGTGAGACTGCGTCACTGCACCACCTGTCTCAGAGACGGACTTACGGTTGTGTCTACCCCTCTGCTTCATGGCCTTGAGTGCTCTGCCTCACCCCTCCCCACCTCACCCCGCCCCACCTCACCCCTCCTTGAACCTGAGTGAAGCCCCTGCTGATCTCTGTCCCACACCTGCTGGAGAGACCTGTTCCAACTGAGACGGCTTCTCTGGAACGCCACGGTCTCACACTTGACTGCAGGCATGGCCTTCACCTGTGGGTCCAGATGCCTCACCTGGGTCACCCAGTCAGGCCCCCTGATGTGGGTGCGGCGCATATTAGTCCTCAGAGCATCAGGAACTTTGAACTCTGTTGCCCACCCTCCTGCAGGATCAGCCCTACAAACCTGCATTGCACTCTGGAGCCCCTGCCCGAGAGGCTTTCTGTCCCAGCTCATCACTAAAACTCCAGCCCACCTGTATCCAAAAGAGCCCTGGGCAGCGGGGAGGACCAACACCAGCACAGAAGTAAGACCAGGCATTGCATTTGGGAGCTGGAGGGACCTCACTCTAGAGCACGTCTGTCACTGTCACTCAGACCAAGATGTCTGTTATCACCTCCCAGGTATCTCTCCTATTCTCTCTGATTCGGTATCACCCAACGGCAAAACTCCTGAGAAATTCTGACTTTTCTTTTTAGAACTGAATTTGTCTATTTTGTATGTTGTTGAAAAAAGAGAAGAAAAGGAATCCAGCAACAGAGGGTGATCCCAGGCCACTCAGGATCAGAATGAAAACCCACATCTGGATTGTACTAAGCCTTTATTCCTAGAGAAGCCACTAGTTACCTCTTCACCCAGAACTGGGGGACCTGAGGCCTCTGTTGCCCAAACCTAGCAGGTGCTTACAAATTATTCATTTTGGTAGAGGCACATGTGGGAGAGAGGGAAAAGGAGCTTCCTTTTGCTCACCTGGTTTTATCTTCCAACCTAGAACAGGGAGGAGAGGGGAGGGAGGAGTTTAGGGACAGGAGCCACCTTTCAGCCTGCCAACCCATCCCTGGAGCATTATCTGTCAGCCCTCAAACCTCTGCATGCTGAGCAATGTACACTCCTCAGAAAAGCACAGGACAGCCCCAGAGCCAGGCATCCACGCAATGATTAGGCTGCCTCTTGGTCTCAAGCAAAGGAATCATTGGTACTGGAAAGGAATGAAGAATTTGGGGGGGAAAATCAGTCTTTTCGTCTGCACAGTGTTGAAACATTTGGATCAAACATGAGACATCACTTCAAGCCAGATGTTTTCTAGGCATTTCCACCAAGTTTCGATATTTGGAAACACTAAATATGTACTGACATTTCAGTATCTTTTCAAAGACCAAAACATAGAAGCCAATAAACGCTTCCTTTCTGAGACCTTATAAAGATAGACGAAGAGATAGACTTGGCGAGGTTTAAAACCACAACTTATGTGGCTACTTGAAATAGCTGAGAAAAAAAAATATGTTTTCCTAAGTGTTATGGACTGAATGTCCATGTCCTCCCCAAAATACATATGTTGAAATCTCATCCCCACCAGTGGTGGTTTTTAGAGGTTGAGACTTTGGGAGATGATGAATGTCAAGGTGGAGCCTTCATGAAAGGGGTTAGGGTCCTCAAAGAAGAGACCAGAGAACTAGCTCCAACCATTTCACCATGTGAAGACACAAGGAGAAATCGGCAGACTGCAACTCAGAGGGCCCTTACCAGAACCCAGCCATGCTGCATCTTGATCTTGGAATTGCAATCTCTGGAACTGTGAGAGGTAAATACCCGTTGTATATAAGCCACCTAATCCATGGTACTTTGTTATAACAAGTGGACCAAGACACCAAGTGAAGAGATTTCCCCCCCTTACAATCACTCATATGATTATAAGAGAAAATAAATTTTCAAACCAGTGACCAATTAGGTCATCAATTTTAGGAGCAATTATTAAGTAAGATTTCAATAAATAATAGAATTTCTGGAATCAAAAATATAAAATATTTGGCACTGGGGTTTTTAGTACGTATAAATAATTCCATACAGGTCTTTTGCATATTTTAGGATTATGAAGTAAAGAATATAACATAATGGTCCTTTAGTAGGCCTTAAAAATACAGAGGAAATTTGTATAGAGGAAACTGTATAGAGCAAAAAAAAAATTTTTTTTAAATAAGAAACTTTGAATTTTGTTTGCTTAAACTTTTGAATATTTTCCTTAGGTGCCAGATTGGAATAACATCATGTCCCACAATTTCTGTACCTTTCTCTGAGTTAAAGTGCTTACTAAGAGGTAAGGATTTTGAAAGCTAATACAGGATACAGGGAGAATGTATTCTAGCAGTCCACTTGGGGAAATCAAAACTTTTTTTTCCCTGTTAAATTTTTCATGGGTTTCCTGCTAATAGTATGACAGGTATCTGACAGCAGAACCAGAAGATAAAATAGATACAGAAAGCTATTCCATTAGTGATAGGAAAGAATTAGGCAGGAGAGTATTCAGCAAGTCCTGAAAATTCTCCCTGTAGAATGAATGCAGGAGAGATAAAACCAATGAGTTTTGACCAAATCAAGAAATCCAGGTTCTACTCGGAGGAGCAGAATGAACAAGTGATGTGGACAAGGCCCTCATGAAGTTGACCCCTCCCTGAGGGGAGGATTGGGCAGAACCAACATACAATCAGTATTTGTGTGCACCAGTGTGTGTGTGTGTGTGCATGTGTGTGTGTGTCTATGTGTGAGTGTCTGTGTGTGTGTGTGTTTGTGACACAGGAAATTCCACCACTGCCGCTCAGCAGAAGGAGGCCAGAGCAGAGCCTTGGGACAGCCCCTTGTTTCTCATTTCCCTTTCCTAACAATAATGGGAGCAATTGGAAAAAGACCCATTTTTCCCCTCTGAGCTTGGGGATATGGTATTTTGGCAGAATGAAGAGAATCAGACCCCTAAGACCCCTATAGAATTGGTCTATATGTGGCGTGTCACACGCTATAATGGGTTTGCATGGGGCTGTATCGGATTAAATACCCCAAATCCCAGTCATCCTTTAGCATATGAAAATATTGGCTTGGACAAGATTTGTCAGAAATGAATATCACGCGGGATACTGAAGACTGGCCGTCAAGAGAGAAGGTAGAAAGCCAGTCATTATTGTTTAGGGAACATTATTATTTAGGTTAGAGAGAGGGAGAATGTTTGTTTTGCTGTTTGTGATTATGATCCAACAAAAAGGGAGGATGTGTGTGATTTCCCAATTTACAAACAGGAGGGAGGCACTTGGAGCTTTTCCAATGCTCTTGTCCTAGCTGTGCTTCCTGCATTTGACAGGGGGCAGGGAATCACGATGCCATGCTAGTCAAGGACTACTGATACCCAGTGGGATTCGGTTGTCTGGGATGGACAGCGAGTTCAAGGTACTCCTGACCATACAGGTGAGATAGTCTATTCCCAGATAGGTCTGTATGTGCATCTCTATTCAGGAGCCAAGTAAATCCTTGATTTGCATCAGATATAAGAATCACAAAAGCAAAAAACATCATTACAAACACAAGTAGAAGCCATATAAGGTAGCTTGCCCACAGATTGAATAAGGGAGGTGGCCTAAGGCCCCCCACCCATCAATACCAAGCAAGGCACTCGCCTGTAATCCCAGCAGCTCAGGAGGCTGAGGCAGGAGGATCATGAGTTCCAAGCCAACCTCAGCAAAAGCCAGGTGCTAAGCAACTCGGTGAGATCCTGTCTCTAAATACAGAATAGGGCTGGAGATGTGGCTCGGTGGTCGAGTGCCTTTGAGTTCAATCCCTTGTACCACCCCACCCCCCCAAAAAAAAAATGAGCAAGGCAGCAAGAAGGTTTCTGTTGTCTGTGCACCATAGGATTGGGTGGCACCACTGGAGGACTGGAATGAGCATACCTCAGACCAGGGCCATAAAATATGTACACTGCATAGGGTGAGGTTACACATTAGCAAGTGACAACTGCACATCAAATAAAGGTGTCCTCAGTCTGCACAAATAGATAGGGAAAAAAATACGGAATGGTAAAGAAGAAAGAAGAACCACGCACAGAACCATTTCATTTTATTCCTTATATGTACAAACATGAATAATTTGACATGATGTTTAGACAGTTTCTCCCTAACTTAAGTCTTTTAATTAAAATGAAAGGAAGGAAATATGCTTTAAATATGAATGCAAGAGGTGTGAGCTGACAGCCCCCAGCCTTCCTATTCCTCTTTCTCTGTTGTTAGCGAACACAATAAAATCTCGTCTTCTTCCTGCCGTCTTTTCATAATGTTTATGGTTGTTTTAGGTAACACATAAACCATGCTGAATGTGATATTCCCCTTATTACATGTCAGGGGCACATATTAAACTAGAGCCTGTCCCTTATCCTGCTATTTACTTTTGAGGCAAATCAGTCAATGTATTTTCCTCGACTCACCAGGCAATATTACAGGGCCCACTAGGCCAGGAAGGTAAATGCTAACTGTTCAGCTTGGGCCAGGCGCCACGCCCTCGGCTCACCATGGAGTGAATGAGAGCAGTATATTCTGGGCTGAAAAACGGGATCGGATGTTGGCCCTCATAAATTACGTGATTATTAAAATGCTGCACAGTTCCAACCCATATTATTTTATTTTACCTTTTGCCGGCTCCCTGGTTGCCTGGTCCACTTTGCCTCTGTTTTCTGTGTGCTTAACTTGTAAAATGCTAAACAAGTTTTGATATTTACCTGTTTATGATTAAATTGCAAAATGATCTGCTTAGTTCTGTTCTAAATTAAGGTCTGCATTAAATGTCATAGCATTTATCTTTCATAAAATGAGACAGCAAGGACACTAATTTCCTAGGTATTCAATCACTGCCTAGTGCCACTGGAGAGACAGCCCGGGAGCGAGCCTGCCCACAGTTCACAGCTCACTGACAGCCCTGAGATGGAATCATAAAAGTCAATTAATCATTAAAAGCTGTTACAAGCACATATCGAACCAGTCTGGCACAAAATGTTAATCAGTCCAATATCAATATAATAAATTCCTGCAAATTGGAGCGATCGATACGTTTAGGGCCTAATGAATCAATTTGAGGGCACTGGGCTGCTCCTTGGGGTCCCCATGACATGGCAGCCGGGCGAGTGCTACATCTCTAGGCGCACTGCCAACAGAGGTCACCTATCCTAACAGGCTGTTCACTTCAGCCGCAGTTACCACGGTGACAGCATGTCACCGTTGCCCTAGTGTCCTTCTAGGTAAGGGGGAAGCCGATGCATCACTGCTCTTGATGGATTCGTCAATAATACTTAGCGGGGGTGGGGGACCGCTCACACAACACTCGCAGTCTCCCGTCCCTGGGCAGTGCGGTGTGATTTAATTGTCTGAAGAGGTGTGTGCGTCTGCATATATGCAGGAACTAAGCAGTGGTCACAGGCAGAGGGACTTGGCTGCACGTGGAAAGCCTTGGGAAAAGAGCACAGAAACTAACAGGCGGCCAGAGCGATGGCCAGGTTGGTGTTACATTAACTAAGTCGCTGTGCCAGGAAGAAATAACCTGGAGCTTCTCGGATTAACAATTTATTAGCTACAACATTTTAATACATTACTCATGAGTGGAAATGGAGTTGCGTCTGAATGCCCCCGAGGCTCAGCTCAGCAGGGTTCCCAGACACCTGCTTACCCACTGTGGGTGCTCACCAGGGAAAGCCAGCAGGGGTGATTAGTGGGTCTCCCCCGTCCCCCACCAGCCCTCCATCCCTCTCTTTCTCATTTGTTCCCCCACCCCACCCCCACCGTTACCTGAAGACTCCTCCACTTGGACCAAACCAGCCATGAGACTGAAAGCTTGAAGCCCCAAAATGGGATTTCAAACTGGCCTCTTCCTCATCTGTCTTGAAAAATCAGTATTTTCACGTTGTGATACACTTTATCTGGTGTTCCCATTAAAACTGACCAGTGAGCGGAGCCCAGAGCAGTTTTGGAATTGCCAAGTGGAATGAAGCCTCTTTACAGATAAAGGAAATCTCTGCTGCCGAGACTCTGGTGAATCACTGTGTTCCGGAACCTTCACTGTCATTTAACATAAAACTTAAAGGTTAACACTGAGTAAAACAAGACCCTGCCTGATTATTTGAATAGTCTCAAAGTGCAACTCTTTCCCCTGGATTGCTCTTACAGAATGCATGGAGTTCAGGAGTCCCTGGGTGGTTGTATACGTTCCTGCCATACTGGGGAGGATGCTTCTGTTGGCTTTCATCCCCAACAGTCATTGTATGCATCTCCCTTGCAGTCATTTATTCCCTTCTAGAAAAAGAAAAAAAAGGTAGCGATGCCAATCCAAAGAAATGTTAATTTCTACTAGCTAGTTATTTTAAAAGATTTTTTTTCCTTACCTGGAAAGAGAGAGAGAGAGAGAGAGAGAGAGAGAGAGGGAGAAAATCATTTTTTTTAATAATAGTGGTCTGAATTATAGGAAACATCAAAATAAATTACAAATTCTCCACTAAAGAAATAACCATTCAACACATTGAGACAGGGTGATGTTAAGGGTGTGCAGACAAAGGTAATGCAGTGCCTCCGCTTAATTGCCCTGACATCCTGCTCCGTTCCTCCAGCTACACTCTGAGAGCTAAAAATCTCTCATTGTTATTAATTGTATTCCTTTTAGAATGTAATGTCATATCGCTGCAGGCTGAGCTAATGAAACATACCCATATTACCAAAATAGGCATATTTCTTTTTGTTCAACGTGTTCTATCAAAACTGTCTACTAAAGACATTGTGTTAAAGATCTTTTCATAGAGTAATATAAAGAACATCTCAACTACTTCAACATTTCTATTACCCGATTACTAAAATGCCCAGGAGGACTCGACGATATAGTGTGAATTCAGTTATCCTATAAGACTTTAGAAATATTGCTAATTCCTGCCTCTGATTTATGTTAATATTAATGCTAGATTACATGCTATAGCCTCTGAACTCCCGCGGCATACCGATTCTCACAAAGGCCCGGCGCTCCCATGCGCCCCAGCTATATGCCTCTATTATAATGAGAATCTGAATTATTTATCTCTATTTATCCTACAGGAGTTCACTCGACCCCAGTCCGGTTTTCTTTTCCTACTGCACATCAATGCGTGTAAACATGACTTCAGAGCTGCTGCGCAATTTGTGTGTTCTGTTCTTTTTCAGGACAGCGATAGGCAGCAGACAAAAATGTTTCACCACTAAGCGAATTCATTTAAGCATGCATTTGAGGTAGAATCTCCTAATTAAGTCAACTTTAACACAGACACGCAAATGGCACCATGCTATGTGTCTGGCGCCTAAATATCGTCTGGTGAGCCCAAAGGAAGTCGGGCAGCAGCAGGCCAAGGAGACAGTGAATGTGTTCAGCCTCTCCTTCCTGTGACCTTCCTGCTGGAGAGAGGTTTGTCTGTGGGGGGCTGGAGGGCTTCCCATTACTTGGCTTGTACCTAGATGGACCAGGCTAAGATTTGGACCTTCTGACTTGGCTCGGATGCTCAGTTGGTCTGGGGGAGGCAGGGCCAGGGCTACTGGGCCCCTCTAATTCAAGCACAGGTTTTGGTAAGTTGGAACGATTGAAAGTCAAAGGGAGAATTCAGGTCGAACGCTATGGAATGGCCTTAGATTTTCTGGGTTAGAGAAGATTCCAGAGGGCTTTGTCATGGATGAAATAGGACTTGGTGGGGTACAATGGGGAGTGAAGCATTTACAAAGATCTACAAAGGTGATATTTTTTATAAGAAAAGCAAGTTGTTAGCAATTGGAGTTGTCAATATTTTAGGTAGTCCAAAGTGACATGTTAAAGGGACACCCCTTTCCTCTGGGACTGTTGGAGGGTCAGTTAATAATCATAGAGTTAACAATTAAAACCCTGCTAAGGGATCCAATTATATACCTTCAGTTCAGGTAAACCTATTTTATTCTAGCAGTTCTGCTGAAAGGGCCACTTGTAAGGTGGATTGAAAAAGGTAAAAAAAAAAATTCTGGAAAATGAGTTTATATTTATATATATAGTAGTTACCCCACCCCTTATCCTCAGGAGATGCTTTCCAAGACCCCCAGTGGGTGCCTGAAACCACAGACAGTACCAAACCCTAAAATGACTACATTTTTCTATATATACATATATGTCATAAAGCTTAATTTATAAATTAGACACAGTAAGAAACTAATAACAATAACAATAAAATAATAGTTATACCAACATATTGTAATAAAATGTTTATAAATGTGATTTCTATCTGTCTCTCAAAATATCTTATTGTACCCTATTTTTTTGTGATCATGTGGGATGAAACCATGCCTATGTAAGGAGATGAAGTGAGCTAAATGACATAGGTATTGTGATGCAGTCTTGGAGGACTACATCAGGCTACTACATATTGACAACTCCAACACAAGCATTGCCATACCTTGACAGTCAATCTGATATCCCAGACAGCTAAGAAGTGACTAACGGGCAGGTAGCATACATAATATGGATACATTGGACAAAGGGATGATTTATGTCCCAGCCGAGATAGGGTGGGATGACATGATATTTCTTCACATGACTCAAGTCAGTGCATAATTTAAAACTTGTGAATTGTTTATTTCTGGAATTGATCATTTAATATTAGACAAAAGTAAATTGAAACTGCAGATAAATGTAGACTGCTGTATAAAATTGGCCAAACAATTGAGTGGTGAACTATTAATGATCATATAAGGCAAATGACAATATGGTAGAACTAACCAAGCTAATAATCAATTATCAATGAAAAACGAGTCTAGAACAGGAATATTTAAAACATTTAAATGTTTAAAATAGCTGAACTAAGCCTTTGAATTATATACGATATGGTAATACTAATTGTTCTTTTACAGTGTTCCTTATCCAAGTTGTGGTGTGATATATAAAATGGCGCACACACACTTCCTTAGCATCTCTTATAGAAAGGCACCCGGAGGTATACTGAATGGCTACTGGTTTCTGTCCTTTATGTATCCAAGTTCCCAGAGGGGACAGGCTGGAGCTCTCAAGACTATGGAGCCATGGGTTATGGAGAAGAATGTGGAGAGTTTGGCAGATCTTGCCAGGCAGTGTAGCCTTGGGAGGAGAGAGGCCGGGTCCCTGGTTCTGATGAATTCCGCAGGCCAGCGCCTCCAGTGGAAGCCACAAAACAGGTGCTAAGTAACTGGGAAATGTCAGGAGGCGAGTCATTATCCCCAGCTCCCAGCAGGACTCAAGACCTAGAAATCAACCCCATGGATTTTAACCAGCATGGACACCCACCGCCACGGCGACAAGGTCCAGCTGGGGCCATGGTGGATTTGAAAATGAACATGAGGACCCCGGAGCTCGGAAGCTGGCTAGCTGCTCATATTCATCCTCCAATAACACGACCTTTCATTTTACATAACTGAATTTGTTGGATTCCACTCATGGCATGATAGCAGACTTTCATTATGTATTTTTCTTTCTTTTAAGAGTACATTCTGTTATAAGGGTAATATATACATTTGAAAAAAAAATAACCTCACCCTACAGACATGTTGAAAGCAGAAGCCCTTTATTCACACTCTCAAGACTTAACAACTATAACAAATCTATGTTATGTTGGCTTTTATTTATGTATGTATTAAAATGGAACTGAAGAAGAGATTTGTTTGGCAAAAATTCAATATTCCTATTAGACACTAGCGTGCATACTATTTTCCAGGGGCTGATGTAGCAAATTACCACAAACTGGGTGACTCAAAAACAGCAGAAATGTCTATTCCCACCATTCTGGAGGCCAGAAATCCTAAATCATGGTCTTGGCAGGGCTGGGCCTCTGAGGTCCTAGGGAAGGATTTGTTCCGTGCATTTCTTCTGGATTCTGGTGGCTACCAGCTATCCTTGGCATCCTTTAGCTTGTAGTTTCATTATTCTAATTTCTGCTTTCCTCTTCACAAGGTCGTCTTCCTTCCGTGTGCCTCTGTGTCCAAATTTTTTTCTTAAAAGAATTGTTGCTGGATTAGGGCCCACCCCATCCAAGATGACTGAACCTCAACTCCATTATGTCTGCAAAGACCTGATTTCCAAATACCATCTCATTCTCAGGTTCTGGGGATTAGGATGTGAACATATCTTAGGAGGGGACACAATCCAACCACTCAGATATTTGGCTGGAGCTAGTTGCAAACATATAGATGAAATTTAAACCCCCTGGAACTTGATAGTTCAATTATATTTTAACTTTGAGGTTGGTGTTCATTTGCTAGCTTCTTGGCATATAAACAAGTTTTCCATATTTATGTCGTTTGTGTTGGCAATCACTTCTCACAGGTTTCTAATTATTATATTATGCATGGAAAGGTCTTCCTCGGTCTAAGATTACAAAATTATTCGTTTTCCCCTTTATGTCTATGACCCATTTGAATCTGTTTTGATGAAGACTAAGTAAAATAGTTACATTTTTTTAAAAAAAGGACTACCCAACAATGTACATGTACTAATATGCCTCTTTTGCATAGGTAATGCCACTGTACAAAATGTAGTAAATAAGTCAATATCAGGATCTACTTCCAAATTGTCAATTAATCTGCTTCTTCACTCCTGTTCCTACACAGTGACGCCAAGTTACTATTTCTATGACTTTATTTTACATTTTAGTAGTTGTTAGAGACTATGTTCTACTGGCACTTTTTTAAAAAAAAAATTTTTGTGTGTATTTCTTTAGTTTTTTTGTTCTTGTCATCGTTGTTGTTCTAGTACTGGGGATCAAACTCAGGGGCACTCGACCACTGAGCCACATCCCCAGCCCTATCTTTTTTTGTATTTTATTTAGAGACAGGGTCTCACTGAGTTACTTAACACCTTGCCATGGCTGAGGCTGACTTTGAACTTCCCATCCTCCTGTCTCAGCCTCCGGAGCCACCGGGTGCTTTTTTTTGTTTTTTCACCCCAAATTATCTTAGCTAGTCCCAAATAGATCTTTATTCTTCCAGATGAACCTTAATCTCACTGGTGTCATGTTAAAAAAAAAAAAAAAAAAACACCACCACTGACAATGACAACAAAAAACCCCTGCTGGAATTGCCTGGTGAACTCCATTTTCTTCAAACTGTGGATATTAGCTCTGTAAGAGCAAATTTGTTTTTATTATGTAAATCTTTTTTTTCCTGTTTTCTTTAAATCCTTCAGCAGATTTTCAGAGTTTTCTTCACAAATATTTTGGACGTCTCCTATATGATTTATTCTTGGAGGTTTCGTGTTTTTGTTTGTTTTTCTATTGTGAATGGAATCTTTGAATTACACCCTGATTCTCCTCCTACTCATTCCCCACATCAATCTGTTAGCAAGTACTGGTCGTTCTTTCTGCATCTGAAATGCATGTCTAACTCACTTGTGTCTTCCTGAGGCCACCCCATCACCATCTCCCCTCGCCTAGACCATGGGTCACTTGGTTTCCACCCCATGTTTCCAAAGACCACTTTTCACATATCCACCAGGGCTAGCTTTCTCAGTAGCCCACAAGGTCATACCAATGACACTCCTCCCTTAAACCCCTGCAGTGGAATCCTACTGCACCAAACTAAGATCCAGCCTCCTAAAGGTGTCCTGCTTGAGCCAGCGTCTCTTCCCCAGCACGATGGCTCTTCCCTGTCACTCTAAAGTGCCACACTCTTGTCCTTGAGCTTCTTTCTCCATCCCCTTCCCCTGGCTCTTTGCCTGACTGCCTACTTCCATCCTTCACGTCTCAGCTCACATTCTACCTGCTAAGAGGGGCCTTCCTGCAGGCTGGGTGCTGTAGGACTCTTCCCATCACCGGCTCTGACCTTGAGTCCCTCACCCCAACACAAGATTGAATTCCCTCACAGCACTGACTGCTACCTGAGAATCTGTCCACGTGTGCATTGGCTTGTTTGTATATTGTTTATGTCTTTTGATTACAAAGCAAGTAGTTGGAAAACAATGACTCAAACCCATTAGAGTTATGTCCCCACTGTCCAGCAAAATGGAGCCTTTCAAAAAGATTGTTGAAGCCTGGTGCAGTGATGCATGCCTGCCATCTGGCAACTCAGGAGGCTGAGGCAGGAGGACCACAAGTTCAAATCCAGCCTCAGCAATATTAGCAAGGCCCTAAGCAACTTAACAAGACCTTGTCTCTAAATTAA